GTACGACGAAGCGTTCGTTAAAGCATGCAATTACAATAATATAATGATACCGTCGCATCATCGTGAACAAATGAACAATTACAGAAACGTACATTTTAAATGTGAAGCGTATAATTAAATACAATAGCAAAAGCAAATTTAAATATGTAATTTTTCATGTAGCCATAAAGTTCTTCTAATCATTTTAATGACTTTTAGAGTTACATTTAAATGTGCATGATGTATTAAATGTAATATATTTTCTGTTATATATTGCAGAATTGCAAACATAATTTTCCTCGCACATGTCGTTATTACGGTATTTTATTTCAAATTATAATATATTACAGTGTCGCGTATGTTTTTACTCTTTAACAAGTAATATTTGAAATTTGTAGAAAGCTCGTTTTTACTTTTTTTCAAAAGAGATAATTGTAAACTGCTTTTAAAGCTATTATAGAATAAGTATTAACGATACAAACGAGACAACGAGAATCGATATTCTCTTCGCACCTTTCACAAAATTTCTCTCAACTGGCGGTATCATTAGTTGTATATGTATGCGAAAAATGGTGCGCTCGCTAACTGTTGTGCTTTCGCTTCGGGGTTTTTCAGCATTTCTCGTTTCTCATCGGCGTTCGCTCACGCGAATATGAATCGATCGTAACAAAAAAAAAAAAGAAACGCGGTTAATTACGATCGCATAGCATGTCAATTTACACGCAAATTCAACGATCGCCATTTGTAGGGCATTTCCGTGGCTTATATTTTAATTTTTCACGATACGCTCGGAAAGAATAGTTAATACGAGTACAACAAGTTTATAATTATTCTGTTGTTAACTCTCGCTTCTCTCGCTGTGTTTATGCGAGATATATGTTGAAAAGTGGTCATTGTGTGTCGTGAAATATCTATAAATATATATTTATATATATTTGCGCAATTTATTAATTTAATTTATTGCGAAAAGGAAATAATAATAATTATTATTATTAATAATAATTATTATTATTATTTTTATTATTATTATTATTTTAATTATTATTATTATTATTATTATTTTGCGTGTTTTCGTACACACGACGAATTTGTAAGACACAGAGGAAGCTACACTGATCTATCCAAACCGCAACCCATGCGAGGTACACATCAGCTAATTACTATGGCGTCAGCTGTTTCATTGCTCACGGGAGCACACTCATGCGTACGAATCGATCGAAAAAAAAAACTCGGGCTAATTACAATCGCGTGGCATGCTAATAAAGGCAGAATCGCATCCACGGCACAATTCAACACAGATACGTATCGATAGAAACACGACACTTTACATGCGCATTTAGATCAAACAGTCAAGATTTCCTCCAACTGCATTCGAACAATTAAAGTGATCGAATTATTAAGTGCACGTGTCATTGTTTTTTTTCCTCTTTATATTTCTAATTATATGTTTTATATATGTACATATATATTGTGTATACGCATCGATTTATTTCTTTCTGGGTCAAACGATATTTTGTTAAAAAAATGCTTTTTTCATCATTTTCAGCATAAAATAATTACATTAACGGGATTAAATAATTCAGAGTCAAATTGTTTGAAATTAAAATTTCATCAAAGTTCAACTTCAAATTTAATTATGTGAATAAAAGATTTCTAAGAAATATAATACATTTTCTAGAATATATATTTCATTGAATATTTTATTTGACTATTTTTAATATAATTGGCAATATTTCTCCGTCGCAAATAGAATCCGATATTTTATTGGAATTTTTCCAATAATGTGTTATCGTATGTTAATTGATATGTTTCTGTATCGTCAGTTTAATCGACGTCACACAATTAGGCTAATCAGCCTATTTCGCATTATCATACTTTACACGCTAATAAACCTCAGGAGCCTTATGAAACGATATCACGATGGTCGTATCATGGTCGTGTTGATTAATATGATGCCGAATTGTAATTACCGGGTTTTCCCGATCGATTTGTGTTTATACGAATAAGCGGCCCCGAGCGATAAAGCAGCTGCTGAGAAGACAGATACATCAATAGCTCGGTAAATTCATTTGTTATACTCGTGTGATTAATTTTTCATTTATTCACGATGATTTAACGCTAATGTAGAGTTTACTAAATTTTAGCTCTTCTCCAATACTCCAATTTCAATTATTTTTCTACTTTAAATAAATATAAATAAATACGACAAATTTTTGACGGTAATGCGGCAACAAGTATTTCGAATTGTTTTACAAAAATCAAAACTTTTATAATCGCATCGTCAGAATATTAAAATAGCATCGCGACACAAATATTTACATATATTCTGTTAAAGTATGCTACGCGTTATGTCTTTGATGTCGCTAGCTCGTATTTTCCAGCGCGAGCGATACATAGCGAAATGTCAAATTCAATGTTGATCAATTACATACGCTGGATATGTGCACAATAATTTGATAGCAGAGCCGGCTGCGATTTATGCGAATGAGCGGCTCGAAACTGCAACAGTCTCGAATCCGAGAAGTTCGCTCAACTTTGCTTGTACTACTGTCAGCGAAAACTCGATTCGCACCCCTTGACGTAATTTTGCGCGCCGCATACGCCGCAATCCAAGTTGTTTTACTTCACGAGCTGCACAGTAACGCGACCCGGGGATTTTCCCGCAAAATACAAAACGATACGCGCCGGCCATACTGTCATTTCGATTTGCGATCCCATATTGAACATTATGGAACGCGAATATTGGCGAAATTTATTCGGGCGACGCATTCACGAGGCGTTATCGATTCCATTTATTTCGAAATGTTGCGCGTAACACATTCGCGAGACGGTACCTTTTCCCTCGACCTTTTCTTTCGGAAAGTTTGTTTCAGTTCCCTACAGTCGAGATAAGAATTGTAGAATGTGGAAATGTTCGATCTTTTTCTAGCACGCATCGTTGGTACTTTGCGACGATTCGATAGTCGTTCTCCTGCTTAGAATTCTTTAGATATTTTTCCGCGGGTTGACAAATTACTGGTGATGGCATAAAAAGTTTTGCTTTTAACTTTATATGTGATCTATATTAATGTCCTCCGACTCGGTTTATTATGGTTCTGAGAAGAGTTTATTAACTTTCGTTTTGAAAGCTTCTAAAAAGGTTTGCTCGCAAAAGAAAACAAATTTGTTGATGTTAAAAGCATATAAATAACATTGCATTTTTCTTATATATACTTTTCGTTATTAAAGTCATTTTATATAAAAATCACTCGCTTTATCGCAAAGTCTTGTCTTCTTGCGAAACTTCGAAAAAGGAATATCTGATAACGCGGTAAAATTCCCGTGCGAAAAGTAAGAGTGCCTCGGAATCGTAAGAGTTAAGCAAACTAGAACCCGAGCTTAAGTGCATTCCGCGGCTGAGATACGACTCTTATTTAAATCTTGTTGGGCTGTTGCAACGGTGAGGAACGAGGTCGCTGCAAATGACGACAACTTTATCGCGAAAGCTTTGGACCGAACGCATTCGCGCTCGCCGATCGATAGTTGATAATTATACGATACTTTTTATTAGCATGCGAATGTAAAACTGCGAAGCAAAAATTGAGCGGGGATGTCGCTTTTCTAGATTGTCACGCACGATAATGGACAAAGACGTCTTGTTGCCGCAATTGGTCATCGAGATATTCATGCTTTTAACGAGCGCATCTCTTTAAATCGTAAAATGTAAATCTTAAAAATTTTGCGCGATATCCCTAAAGTTAGCACGAGCACGAGAGAAAATTGCAGCCGGCGCGGCTACAGCCGTCCCGCTTTGTTTTTATCCGGGAGGGGTAGTCGTGGAATACGAATGGAATGGAAACTAAAACTAGCGGAAGTTGGCGGTGTTACAAAATACCCATATTCGTCTGAGTCTGAACGACAGATTCGATTTACTTGGCGCGGTACCCGCGCTAACTAATGAAGATCTCGTCTCTCAAAGATGCGAATCTGATTCCGAGCGCATCTCGGCAACTTGGTCGCGGCATACGTGTATCCGCACGCCCGCCGATATTTCAATAGCGACGTAACTCATTGCGGTTTCGCGAACGCAAACTCGTTCAGGCGCATGCAGCCGTAAACTTATCGACCGCGGCGCTCATATTCCCGCGTGACTTACAAAGGCGCGCACAGAGAGGAGTGAGACCGTTGCCGCGTGATATACGTATATACGCGGCGGATTAATTATCCCTTCTCCGAAGAGAGACGTAAATATACCGTGTACGCGTCCTCCCGTCGAGATGCTCCTTACCATCGATCGAGACTTCTTTCTCCTTTTTTCTCACGCGTCGCACCTCTATTTTTAATCCGACTAGAATATTGTGTTTGTCTTCGTAACGAGAGATGGGACGTGCCATCGAGAGGGAGAGACAGACAGAGAGAGAGAGAGAGAGAGAGAGAGAGAGAGAGGGAGAGACAGACAGAGAGAGAGAGAGATTTACGAGGCAATTCTACTCGCGATATATATAATATTGGCAATTATCCTACTCCAATTTTGATACGCGTATGTATTACATCTCTTACACATCTCGACATCAGAATCGAGTATACGGAAATGAAGGAATACGCGACGAGTCCGAGAGACTTCGGGAAGCTGATTAAGACGGGAGAAAAAGATATTTTCTCGCGGGAGGGAAAACACAGCGGGGAAATTGTCTCGACGCGTTATTAGCGTCTTCATCTTCGATGGAAAGGAGCGCGCGGAGCAATTTCTCGAGTCGCGCGGGGGATGATGTCCAGGGGGTGGCTGTCCGCGCGTCCATTTGCGCCGTGCCCTCTCGTTTCGCGTAGCGTCGTATCGGTCGGTTGTAAAAAATGATAAGGGAAAATGGGACCGCGACGCGGCCCTCGCTTCTCGCGCGCGAGCCGTCCAAGCCGGGTACAAATTACTGGCGCGCTGCACGTAGTTGGATGGAAACTAGTCTTGGGAATTGAGGGAGGCGCGCAGGGAAATTGCTATACAGCTAACGGTTTTACCTCCGCTTGTCTGCCTCGCCCGCCCTTACCTTACTCCCTTACTCTATACACAAGCCGCTCTCCTCTCTTATTCCTTCCTTGCTCGCTTCTACTCCGTATATACTCCTTCCTCTGCCTTCTTCGTCCACACCGTGGCAACCAGTTTCCACCCGACTATAGCTCTCTACTGATATTGTAACGCCGAGCAAAGCCGTTGGTACCCACTCTCACCCCTCGTTTCCTCTTCCCTTACGCTTCCACCGCCCACTCTCGTCCATACGCCCCTTTCTCAGTCTTGTGCTCTTGTGCTCGGTGTTTATGAGGGTCGAAGATTCGCGGCGTAACACCTGGGGCTTATGATTCCAGGCATTATTGCCGGAGTAAATTAACCATACGATACGGCTCGTTTCTTTCTACCCCCGTCTCTCCTCTCCTCTCTCTCTCTCTCTCTCTCTCTCGCCCTCTCTCTCTCTCTCTCTCTAATTTGTACCATTTTTTGTAATATATATTTAAATCTGTAGGTTTTACAGGTTCCTTTCAAATGCTCCCGATCGAATAATAAATGACACGGTTACTCCAAATAATGGAGTAAAATCAAACACTTGGAGCGTGCAATAAACCTATATATCAAATAAGCACTTACTTGTATTGTTCTTTTGCTAAAATTGCTTACAACTCTTCTGATAGAAGCTTCAAAACTGAATAAGTAATAAGATGAATAATTTAAACAAACTTGTGTAATCTTGTTTTCAAGATCTAAAATCATTTTTATGTTTAATCAAAGTTTATTTATTTATTTATGCAGCTGGTATTCAAAATAACTATTTTATACGTCGATGTAGATCTTTAAATCAAATTAGAGGTCCTTTTATCGTTTTAAAATTTTCAGAATTTCTGCAAACATGTTTGCATCTTTCTACAATGTAAAGTCTTGTATACAAGATGTACACAATACGATAATATACAAATATTTCAGCATTCTCGAGGGATGTTCTATAAAGAATAGTTCTCAAATAATTGTACAAATAAAAATGTAAAAGGTCCAAGTTGGCGGAAAACGGACAGGCAATAGGTTCGGTGCGGTTTATCCATTTACCAGAGGGAAATCACTTGTTCAAAAATTGCCTAGCTATTCGGCTACAATAAAGAACAATATCGTGCATAAATCATATCTGTGACATATGATATTGAATATGATACTCGTTATTTAGAAAATTAAAATAAAAATTAATAATATCTTTTTAGCCAAAAATACATAAATTTAATAAATTATCGCCAATAACTTCTATTCAAACATTACGTTGACCTTTTATTAATGTCTTGATTAAATGCTATCTTTGCCTCCCTATTCCTGTATCAGATGTATGCCTATTAATTTTTAATTAGTCACTATTATTGCAATCAAGAAGATACTAATTAGGGAATTTATAAAATATTATAAGCTAATGCTTCAGAAATAATTAGAGTCACAGAAGATATAAGGAATTATTCAACACTGGCACTTATTTTTAATTGTGCACACTTGATTTATCAAAATTACTGGACAAACATAGATATATTTCGAAAATAAATAATTTATATATAGATTATAAATTATAGATATATAGATATATTTATATAGATTTATATGAATTTTTCAGTACGAAGTTTATTCCTAAAATCTCTCTTTTAATTTGATTGGTAATAAAATGGCAAGTTATTGATAATTAAATGCCAATATATTTTATATTTGTATCTTTTTATCTTCAATATTCAATATTTTTATGTGCATATTTCAAATATGCCAAAATTTATTATTATAATTTAGTTAAATTTCTGTTTCAAAGTTTATTTATTCTTAAAAGTTTAAACTTTAAAAGATCAAATTGAATTTTAATCCCGTTATATTGGGGCAACACACACTCACACACAGCGCCCGGCTTGTCTAGTCATGCCGAGTAGCTTGCTAACTTCCTGTCAAGCTTCATATCACGACGCCTTCCTGTTAAGAGATGCTTATAACACGTCATTTTGAAATTATATTATAAAAGGATACATTAGATTAAAATTCAAAAATTCGATACCTGCTAGTTGGAAAACAGTCACCATCAATGTATCACCGGGTATATCGACAGTTGCCGTTGAGAAATTAATTTCCTGCAACGAGAGGATGGTTCGAGAGGTTCTCGGGCGGGCAATATATAGACAGCAATATGGGCTCCGTAGGCACTTAAGATCCGACTGGTTCGCGGTTGAAACGGTAAAGTCAATGTCTTACGAGTTAAAGTTGGCCGCAGAGACACGGAGGTGGCTATGGCAACGTATACCTCTCTCTCCTCCTTTCATCTCTTCTTCCTCTCCATTCTTCCCTCCTTTTCACGATGTTGTCTGCCGCGCGTAATATCATGTCTGAGTTAATTAGGCCAGCGAAATATGGCGAAATATAAAGAATAAAAATGTATTATCATTATATATTATTTTTTCGTGGAATTTCTTTCTCTTTTTACGAGGGAGCAAAAGATCGGTCGGCTAAGAAAACGCTCGGAGAGAAAAAATAGTTCAAATTAAATATTTACTCGTTTTGGTTCGCTTCGAGATCGACTTCCATCGCACGAGAATTTTCTCTCTCTCTCTCTCTCTCTCTCTTTTTCTCTCTCTTTACATTAGTAATTTAACGAGCCGTTCTTATCGGAAATTGTTACAACGAGATCAATTAGATTCTTGCGATTTTACGAAGATTAATTCCGAACAGGAAGCAAGAACGCACAGAATTGAAAAATATCTCTGACCGTTTAAGAGAAGGTAGCTGTTTTTTTTTTGGCTGAAAATTTATCTGCCGAGTGCGTGACTACGCTAAGAGAAAAATTTTAAAAATTTATTTAGTCAAACTACACGCCGTGCTCACATATATATATAGTTTTAATTTTATGTTGGAAAAGTAATTTAATCCTCGACACACGGAATTATGAGACAAAAATCTACGTATAAATATACGTAGTGTGTATACATGTGTATAGTAACGTCTTGAAACGCCAATTACCTATGTAAAAATTAAATAGTTGAATTATTAGACAAGTGTTAATATTACTACTTTTCTTTATTCAGAAATCTTGATAAAATCATGATTATACTACATAAATTACTACATTTCACATTTTTTTTTAGAATGGAAACTTGTTAGTTCTTTAGATGCAAATAAAAGTGATAACCGAAATCTCTCATGAATCGATTTTTTATCGATCTCATGTACAAATCAATTTTATCTCTCAGCAATGCATTTGCATTGCTCGCGATACAAATATAAAAATATGAATATAAAAATAAAAAAATATAATAATATAATGTAAATATAAAAATAATAGAATAATTATAATAAATAATATGTATATATATTAAAATAATATAAATATAAAAATAATAAATATAAATATAAAAATAAAAGATAATGTAAATATAATTATAAATTTAACTGTAAATATGTATTAAGTTATGTATGTGTATATGTGTCAGCACAATAATTTTGTTTTTCAACTATGTTCACGAAATATATATCATTATATTTTTTACATTTATTTCAGTGAAATTATTCCGCTCATTATTTACATGTCCGAGACATTAATCACCGAGAGAGAAAAAACTACACACCATAATTATTACATCTCTGATATAATACACTTGTTTTGCCGGAAACAATGCTCCTAGTATTGCAAGCGTTTCTGTAATTTCGCTAAGTAGTTCTTCAACGATTTAACCAAATGCGTATCTGAAAATAGCAGCAGATTATTCCATTCCTGTTGAGCTATACCCTCTTGAACTTAAGTCGCTCGTTTCTCCCAACCCATCTTTCCCTCCCCTACCTTCCAGACGTGACACCACCCTGTGTAGCATTTCCTCTCCGTAAAACCGTAGCGATCCTCCTTAAACCTCTTACGTTTTCTCTTTGTGTCTTTGTTTTCGTCTCCGCATTACGATTCCTACGTTGCACAATATCGTTATTCATTACTCGACGCACGACCTTCGAGAAACTGTCGTGTATGCAGTCGTTGTAAATAGAATAGATGCAAACGGATATTTTTAATGCTTTCTTGTACGAGAGATACCGATTAAGCTTCAGTCAGACGACAATAAATCCTCTGTGATATTACGTGCTTTTGCGCTTCGGTTACTTCTATAAACGAAGCCAAAAAGTTTTACGACCGACATGGTGTGACAAAAACGTGTTTTCTTCCAACAAAATACATGTATCACAACACGAATACTCAGTTTTAAAAGTATTGAAGAGAGATATTTCTTTTTGACTTTAAGAAGAAGGATGGCCACTAAATCAATTGGATCCAATTTTTTCAGTTTTTCAGATTGTACAGCGCGATGAATATACGTCGAATATTAATCGATCGATCAATCTTTTGCGAGCAATATAATTAAAAAGAAATAATATAAATAAAAGTCAACTATTAAGAGATAATTATTTTCTATAATTTTCTTCTTAAAAACCTTTTCTTCTTAAAAAACGTATAAAATGAGGAAAAAGATACATCCTACATATAGAATATGGATAAATTTTCAACACTGAGCAACTTTGTGCATTGTTCCAACAAAAAATTTAGGATCATAATTAAATTAATCTATCGATTTTTATCTGGAAATTGAGTAACGTAGAAATTCGCTGAATATCTAGGCTAATATTATCTCGTTATTTTTGCTTGCATGTTTATTATTCTATTGGATATGACATCTATGTCTCTTGCAGTTACGTAAATCAGATCAATTTATTTCAATATGATAGCCATCTCTTTTTTTATTGACAGTAGTTGTTCTGTATTTTAACTACAGCTACAAAATAATATTAATTAGATCGCCATACATTTTATTTATGTAAAAACTTTTTATTACAATTAAAATTGAAATAATTTTATTTTATTATAATTAAAATTGAAATAATTTTTGTTAATCAAAATAATCACCTTGATACATTGACCTTAATAGCTTTTTACCTATATTTATCTAGAAATAAATATTTTTTTTTCTAAAGCTCGAGTCTAAATTCAAAATTTCATTTAAAACAAAATTTAATAATAAAAGCAATCAATCTTTTGTATAAAATATTAATACTAAATAATAAAGTTAATAATATAATTGTGCTAATTTATCAAATTAACATATATTAAAAATAAATAAAAAAATAAATAAGAAATAAAAAAGAAATAATTAAAAAATAAAAACTGCAGTGGGTGCTGTATCAAATTGTGTGTATAATTTGATATGAAATAAATAAAAATAGCTCATAAAGATTGATTGTATATATATGTGTGTAAAAATACATACACAATTTTAAAGTAAAATATAT